CTACAAGCAGCCGGATGGGAATTCTTTTAGAAGGAGCCTCCTGACATCCTTTTGCAAGAGCCCCACACCCACACACATGCCAAAGCCATCACAGGTTACATTGCTTGAGTCCTCAGACCCAACTCAGAACAAAGCCTGGAAAACTCACAGCTTTGGAGTGACTCCCGTGGCAGCTGTGCCCTCTCTTGACACCAGTTCTTCCCTAATTACTCACCTGTTGTGTATCTATGCTTGCTCCTTCAAGGCGACCATTCACATTGGATCCCACACTCACCACCACATGCCATACCGTGAGGGTCTAACTAGAGACTCTGTTGGAGGAGCAACCTGCTGTGTCCCTGCCTCATGGCAGCCTAAGCCTCTACCTCATGTATGCACTCAGCTGGACAGATCTTAAGGCTGCTTCCATTTCTTCAAGCCTCTGCACTTGCACAGTTAATCAGCCTTGCACAGCCTTTGGGGAGAGTTCTGGGAAGCCTTATCTTTCCATCCTAGTATCACATTGGTAAGACATGTGTTCTTTCTCCTTAGACTGTGCCAACAACTGTCAGCGTGAGACACAGAGAAGTCTGTGTGACTGACCATGTACGGTCCATCCATCCTGGTGCTTCCCTGAATTTGAATGCAGGACAAGGCTCAACAGTAGTAGCATTGTCATGCTACTGGGATAGCCTCTATCCCATAATGTACTTCCACATCCGAAACACTCTGAGCAACTCTGAGCCCATAGGATGGACATTTGATATGGCAGATGGATGTGTTTCATTTTGCAGAATTTGGAAAACAAAGGTATGTACTCCATACCATAGATGTATACCCAGGGTTTCAACAGGCACCTGCTTTAAGTGCTGAAAAGGCTGATTGTGTAATTACACATTTCCTAGAAATAGTGGAAATTTGGGGGATACCTTCACAAATTAAGACTGATAATGAACCTACATATATATCTAGTAAGATAAATGTTTCATCTACTAGGATGAAGCAATTCTTTGCCTATTATAGTATAAATCGATTTATACTTTAATAGCCTAAGAAATGTTTCATCTAGTAGGAGCGTGACTTTGGAGTGTCTGGCTCTCACCCCGGCTTCTTGATAGAGATACAGTTGTCATATTCGGTGAGATAACTTTCCATTATGGGGGAGTAAAGGGTACTTAACATTCCTAACCCTTGCTCTCTAAATAGCATGATTCTTCCTGATCATTGTGATAACCAAAAATTAATAGCTGCCTCTACATTTATTTCCAAGAGCCACCTAGGGATGTATCTACTATGTTGAGAATCCCAGATGAAGGTTGTAGAGTAGAGCAACACATGCTAAGCCTGTTGCTTCCGGGGCTGGAGAGATGGCCCATGGTTAAGAACACTGGCTGCTTTTCCAGCAGATCTGGGTTTGTCTTCCAGCTTCTACAGGGTGGCTCAGCCAATCTCAGGGATGCTCTCTTCTGGCCTCTACAGACACTAGCATGGGGCACAGACATTCCTGCAACAACCCTGCCCCCAACAAAAGAAAACAACAACAACAAAAAAAAAAAACCCCAAAGAGCTTGTTGATTTCCACTACAAAGGGACACATCCGACCAGGAGCTGTCCTCAAGGGGAAGAAGTGCCTTGCCCAATGGGAGTTCAACGGGTTCCTAAGGAGGGATGAATAGAAAGGGATGGGAAGAGACACAAAGAAGGAGAGCAAGTCTATAATCGGGTCTAGCTCTCGTTTATTTGAAACTTTTCACACAACTTTATAGGGAGAAGGCAGGGAGGGAAAATGTGTCAGCAAAATAGTTTACAAAAGATAACAGGGTGGTATGATGATAATGCAGAATACCACAAGTATGTTTACTAAAAGAGATACTACAAGAATGTCAGCTAAGATATCTCAAAATGTCTACCCTGACGAACAGATGTCTCATAAGTTCCGGAAACATAAATCTCTCACCCACGACCTTGTTGCAGCTGTCTGTAACTTTACAGTAGCTGGCCTTGGCTCCCGGCAAAGAAGTGGTAAGATGACCAGTGAGAAGTGCTAACTGTGCAAGTGAATCAGCTAAAGCAGAGGATCTGTGCCCAGGCTTGGTCCAGACTTCACTAGGACAAGCACTGTGTCTTATAAAAGCTCCCCAGATGACTGAAGTGTGGGTCCCTCACTCTCACAGTAAGCCGTGAGGCTGAACAAAAAGACAGGAACAGCTGCCGTGCTCAGCGATGATGGCCTTCCTCCTCACCACAGAACAAACGGTAGCTGAGGCAGCATGTCCCTCCAAACAGAGCTCTGGGGAAAGTTCTTGGTTGGATGGTGATGAGAGAAGCTAACACGATATGGAGGAGGGAGGCCATATTTTGCGCATCAGTGTTGACAAATCTTTTTTTTTTTTTTTTTTTTTGAGGCACAAACAGTCTTTATTGGTCTCACACCAGGAGTCCATTGGTCTTGAGGACCTCTGTGAACTTGCTGATTTTCTTCTCCACATTCTTCTCTGCTTGTTTCCGCAGCCTCAAAAGCTGCTTCTTCTTCCGATAGTGGATCTTGGCCTTTTCCTTCCGCTTCTCCTCAAGAGTGGCTGTCACCGCCTGGTACTTCCACCCGACCTCATGAGCCAGACGCCCCAGGTAAGCAAACTTTCTGGTAGGCTTCAGCCGCACAACCTTGAGGGCGGCAGGGACCACCATCCGCTTTTTCTTGTCATAGGGTGGAGGGATTCCATCCAACACCTTGAGGCGCTCCAGGGCAGCCTGGCCTCTCTTGGTCTTGTGGGACAGCATGCCTCTCACAGTGCGCCAAAAAATGCGGCTTGGGGCTCTAAAGTGATAGGGGCCCCGAGAGGGGTTGGTGTTCATCCGCTTCCGGAGAAAGGCCAAATACTTTAACTTGTTTCTGTAGAAGTTTCCAGAAATGTTGATGCCCTCACAGCGTACAACCACCACCTTCCGGCCCAGGAGGACCTGCTTGGTCACAGTGGCCGCCAGGCGGCCCAGGAGATGGCCTCGGCTATCCAGCACCAGAACCTGCCCCTCCGCCATCTTCGGCAGCCGCCTGGGAAAGCGACAAATCTTAATTTATATACACATACAAGACATGATACTCAGTTACTAGGACAGACCTTGGCTCCTTTTCCTTTAAGACTCCAGAAGGAACTGTTCTTCAGTGCTGCAGAGGGATAAACTAAGCTTCAGTCATTATGAATGCCAACTTTAGGATTAGATGACTCCAGTTTCAAGCCTTACCTCAGTCTTTGAGCAAGCACTATGAACTTGGAAAGAGAATTTAAATCAGTGAACTCTCTGAAGCTTGGTTCTTATTAATAAAATAGGCATTAAATTTTATGCTCACAGAAATGTTCTAAAGATCAAAATCATTAACCAACATTTGGCAATGTGCACCAGACAATGAGTGGTGATAAAGATGCTGCTGCTGACAGTGATAAGGATGATGGTGGTGAGAGGGATGTTGGTGATAGAGATGGCGATAGGGGTGATGGCAGTAACGATGATGGCCAGGGTGGTAATGGTGGTAACTGTGACAAGGAGGATGGTGATAGGGATGATAATGATAGGGACAGCAGTGATGATGACAGGGATAACAATAAT